GAGGTTGAGGCCGGAGGATCCCTTTAGCCAGGAATTCAGGTTCAGCCTGAGCAACACAGCAAGACCCCATCTGTAAAAATAATTTTTAAAAAAGAAATAAAAACGATAAGAAAAATAAACCCGGGCCAAGAACGAGTCCGTGTTTTCAGCCCCTCCCTCCCTGTCCCTTGACCAGCCTGGGATCTAAGATCTCAACCCAGGGCAGAACGGGCTGAAGGAAGGGAGGACGGGCAGCCAAGGGGCAGAAGAGCAGGGCCAGCCCCTGGTTTCAGGATGACACTGCGCAGCAAGGGTGGGCAAGAAGGAAGGAGAGAGGTGTCACCACAGATCAAGGATCAGGATGGCACCTTCCATCCCGGGCTTGGCTGCATCTGGAAAAAAGCCACAGAGGGAGGAAAGAAGGAAGAACTCAGAAGCCCCTTCCCAGCCAGCCCTAGACGCGGGGGGGGGCGTTCTGTGGCCTTCGCCACTTCTGTGCCCCACCCACATTCGAAGCCCCTGGGCTGAGCCCAAGTTGCAGGGTGGGTGGGCAGTGACCTGGGTAGCAGGGACAGGGCCTCACGGGAGTACCACCCCACTCGCCCACCACTTAGGTGACAGAGCCTCACATGCCCCCCTTTGCCCCCTGCCCATGAGAGCAGGCTCGAGCAGGGAGAGGGCCAGAGAGTGACCCCAACTCAAAAAAAATGTGCGGGGGTGTGGGGAAGGGGTTGGGAGGAAGGGAGGCCTGACTCCTCTGACTGGCCTCTGTCCCAGCTCCACCCCCTCCCTCCCCGAGAGCCCTCAGCCCACACCCCCTTATCTGCAGGGACTCCCAGGGCTCTGTCCCCAGACCTGATTCCTCGAAGTTTCCCCCTAGCCCATGATAGCCTGCAGGGAGCCTTTTCCTACCCCAGCCCCCCCCACCCCATTCAGCCCGTCGTCCTTCCCCCGAGGGCGCTCTGCATTGAGCAGACAGGAGACCAACGGTCACCAACACTGTGTGACCACATGTGGACACACACAGCCGTTCCCTGATCAAAAAAGAGGGCGAGGGAACAGCCAAAATGCATCCTAGGAGGCCACGGGCCTGGCTTCAGCCTCTCTGCCCTCAACTGTCTGCAAGCTCAGAAGAGAGTTCCAGGTGACAGGGCCTGTGCTTCTGGGTGAAAACTCAGGGAATGGTCAGGTCCAGCAGAGACAGTGACAAGCACATGTGCACAGAATCCAGTAAATGCAAACACAGGTCACTAATGTAACCGTATACAGACACACTCACACTTAGGCTCAAATGTAAGTACCATGAGGACAGGGATTCCACCCCCCCACCCGTAATGTAGCCCCAGTCCCTACAGCAGAGCCGGTACACAGCAAGTATCTGCAGAAAGAATAACACATCCAGGCATGGTGGCGTGCCTGTAGTCCCAGCTACTTGGGAGGCTGAGGCAGGAGGATGGCTTGAGCCCAGGAGTTGGAGGCTGCGGTGAGCCATGACTGTGCCACTGCCCTCCAGCCTGGGTGACAAAGTGAAACCCTGTTTCAAAAAAAAAGAAAGAAAAGAAAATTAAGAAAGAAAAAAACCCAATACATCCGTGTACATAATGCTTATGGACATACATCCACGTATAATGTACATGCCTATCCACAAGCATATATGTGCATTAAGGCTTATGCCTATAATCCCAGCACTTTGGGAGGCCAAGGTGAGAGGCTTGCCGAAGCCCACGGGTTCAAGACCAGCCTGGGCAGCTTGGTCAGACCTCATCTCTACAATAAATCAAAAAATTAGCCAGGCGCGGTGATGCACACCTGTAGTTCCAGATACTTGGAAGGTGGAGGTGGAATGATCACCTGAGCCCAGCAGGTTGAGGCAGCGGTGGACGCGAGTGTGCTACTGCACTCCAGCCTGGGCGACTCCCACTCAAAAAGAAAAAAAAAGATAATCCACCCACACGACATGCATTGTGACATACACTCATGTGTGAATGTGTTAGCTATGACACATAGATAGCACACACAAGTATCACACGCAGTTGCTGCATGCACAGTCACTGGATGGTTGCCCGTCCAAGCACCTTTTGACAGTCTCAAGGCCCCGGCCCAGGCCTGACCGCCGCCATCAGAAGCGACCGCCAGGTGGCCCTCGCTCCCCACTCCCTGTACTCCCAAGCCTTGCCAGAGCTGTCGCCGGCTTCCCCGAGGCACAAACCTTGCCGGGCCAGGTGGCCCCCGGCACGCTCGGGCACACCTGCCCAGCCGGCCAGGGCGGGGCGGATGTCCTGGGTCCCAGAGCCTGCAGTCTTGGGCTCTCCCGAGTGGTGCCTCTGTCCGGCCTCCAGGTCTCCTTCGGAGGGACGGACCCCTGGGGCTCCAGCTCGCCCGGTGGGCACGTGCACCCTGGTCACCCGCGCGCCGGGCCTGGGTGGGCGGGGACACCCCCAGCTCAGACCCGAGCGGCTGGAGGGCCCGCGCAGTCACCGGCCTCCCGGCCCAGAGCTCGAAGAGGGCCTGGGCAGGGCTGCGTGCACACACGCCCCTGGGCCACCCCCCACGCTGCCCCGGAGGAGGGGACCCCAGCGTGGGTCAGCCGGACGCGGGGGAGCGGGCCCGGTCCCAGACCCAGAGCCCCGGGCTTGGAGGGGCAGGGCGGATTAACC